GCTGAAACACTTGCCTCTGCAGTGTTGCCACCGTGTGCCGCGTGGACTGCAGGAGAAGGGGGGTGTGGGGGAAAGGGGGAGAGGGCGAGACTATGATCGCAGAGAGCGGGAGGGGTGGAGGGTGCCGGCGTGGGTGAAGAGATGTGATGAGAGATGCGGGCAGGGAGGAAGGGAGAGAGTGAGCACGCCAGGAAGAGCGGCACCTGAATCAATGCCCCACCACACCGCTCTCAACCCATTTAACCCATAAACTCACCACGAACTCTCCCACCATGGCTCGGAACGCGCCTGTCACCTCGTCGCTTCCCTCCTCTTCGCTCCTCATCTGCCTCTCCACCTCCCCCTTGCGCTGCCTCAGCTGCTGCAGTTTCTCCTCCAGTGTCGCAAGCTGCTGCCGCGCCTGCTGTAGCACCTGTGGAGAGGCAAAGAGGGGGGAGGTGGGGAAGGTGGAAGTTTGAATGTGGCACGTCTCCTCTTCTTCTCCTCCAGTGTCACTAGCTGCTGCCGTGCCTGCTGTAGCACCTGTGGAGGGGAAGGAAGGGGTGAGACGTCTCAAAACACACTTATTCAATCGCACTCTACCTCTTCCTCTCCTCCTGCGCTGCCAGCTGCTGCCAAGCCTGCTGCAGCACCTGTGGAGGGTGCAGGGTGGGGGAAAGGGGGAATGGTGGGGGGTAGCATTAGGATAGTAGGGTAGGGGGTTGCCGGGGTGTGTGTGGGATAGCAAGGTAAAAAAATGCACTTCCCGCTCCCACTCCATCTCTCCTCCAGCACTGTCCATTGCTGTCCAGAACCTGCAGAAGGGCAAAAGGGGAACGGTTGGCAAGACTGGGTGAGAATGCAGCAGTATGCCTGATGTAGCGACAGCACAGCTGGCGCAGATGCAGATCAGCCAAGAAGACCACCTCAAAAGACAAGTAGCATCACGTTAATATGCTGTGAGGGCTGCCCACCCACCTTGCCACCCACCCACCCACTTTGCCACCCACCCACCCACCCACCCACCCACCCACCCATGGTAACCGGACGGACAATTCGATGGCTCACTCCCAAAAGCATACCTCGCTCGCCAGGTAGTTCCCAAAGCTCCTCTCGATCAGCGCCTTGGCCTCCTCCATGCTGCGCCCCCGCCGCACCGGCACCAACGCAGCTGCCGCTGCCGAAGCATCGGCTGCTTGGCTCTCCTCCCCTGCAGCAGCTGCTGCAGGTGGCTCGCCTGCAGCACCGTTACTGGTAGCGTCACCCTCGCCTGAGTCACCCCCTTCTGGGCCCGCACCGCTGCCCGCCTCTGTCTTCTCCTGCCACACTGGAGCGCCCTGCGGAAAAAACATGCGAAAAGAAAAGAAGAATAGAATGAAGCGGACGAGGGGAATGGGGGGTGGGAGAAGGGAGGGAGCAAGCAGGGAGAAGTGAGGAGGGGGGGGGGAGGGGGAGGGGGGGAGGGATGTGCGAAAATGAAGAGAGAAGATGACGAGGGTATGGGGAAATGAAGAGAGAAGATGACGAGGGTATGGGGAAATGAAGAGAGAAGATGACGAGGGTATGGGGAAATGAAGAGAGAAGATGACGAGGGTATGGAAATGAAGAGAGAAGATGATGAGGGTATGGGGAAATGAAGGGCAAAGGCATGCAGTAGGGAAAGGTCAAATGGGGAGGCTTTTTATACGATTCAGAAATAATCAAACGCACGATGCGTGCGTGGGAAGGGCATGACCCATAGCTCATGTGAGTCATGTGAGTCATGTGAGTCATGCGAGTCATGTGAGTCATGCGAGTCATGCGAGTCATGTGAGTCATGTGAGTCATGTGAGTCATGCGAGTGATGTGGAGATTAACCCTTGGGGCAGGGCAGGCAGGCAAACAGCAAGTTGAGAATCCACGCAACGATTTCTGTCTTCAAACACAAGTTGAATGAACCACACTCACACACTCACACACTCACACACTCACACACTCACACACTCACACACCCACCCCCGCACACACACCCACCCCCAGCAGGTTGAGCGCCATGCCATAGGTGGCGGTGAATTGAGAGACGAGGGGATCAGCCCCTCCCAGCAGCAGGCGGCAGCAGTCCTGAGCGCCCTCAAAGGGCGTCTGCACTACCACCACGTGGCCCTGCTTGTCCTTCCCCCTCCTCCCTGCCCGCCCCGCCATCTGCAGGAGCGCGTTGGCTGACAGAAGACTTCGGCCCGCATTGCCCCTGGGGTTGAGAAAGAGAAGGGAAAGGCAGTGAAGTGAAAGTAGCACGATGACACATAGCAAGAACAAGTACGATCACACACACACAATCACACACACAATCACACACACAATCACACACACAATCACACACACAATCACACACACAATCACACACACAATCACACACACAATCACACACACAATCACACACACAATCACACACAATCACACACATAATCACACACACAATCACACACACAATCACACACACAATCACACACACAATCACACACACAATCACACACACAATCACACACACAATCACACACACAATCACACACACGATCTCACACACAATCACACGCACCATCCCACACACATCACTCACACCATCACTCACACCATCACACACACATCACTCACACCATCACACACACAATCACACACACAATCACACACACAATCACACACACGATCTCACACACAATCACACGCACCATCACACACACATCACTCACACCATCACACACACATCACTCACACCATCACACACACATCACTCACACCATCACACACACCAGCATACATCCCCACCTATCACCACCACTCGAACATCATCATACCCGCCCAGATGCTTGGAGAGAGCAGAGAGCACAGTGGTGCGAGCTGGCATGTTGATGCCCGCCGACAGTGTCTCTGTTGCGAACACCACCTGGTGGGGAAAGGAAAGGGGGAGGGAAAGGAGTGGAGAAAAGGGAACAGGGGGTAAGAAACGGTGCAGGAGGGAATATGGGAGGGGAAGAGCATGGTGGTGCGAGCAGGCAAGGTGAGAGAGAGGAGAGAGGAGGGAAGAGGGAGGAGGGAGGTCCGCACCACAGAGTGCACCCCACAGCACCATACAGCACCGTACAGCACGACACAGCACCGTACAGCACCACACTGTATGGCACAGCACTAATACACACCTTGACCAGCCCGCGTTGAAAGAGGTCCTCCACAAACCCCAACAAGGGAGGCAGGCACCCCGCATGGTTCGCGCCACACCCTTCTTCAGTACCTCCCCATCAGCCCAACAGCACCCCACAGCACCACACAGCACCGCACAACACCACCACACACACCTTGACAAGCCCGCGTTGAAAGAGGTCCTCTACGAACCCCTTCCAGGGCGGAAGGCACCCCGCGTGGTGCGCCGCCACTCCCTTCTTTAGCGCCTCCACTGCCCCCTCCCTCACTGCCTCCGGCTGCTGCTGCCTCAACGCCGCTATGGCTTCTGTCACCTCCGCCTGTGCAAACAGGGAGCAACGGGAAGGTGGAAAGTGGGGAATGTGGAAGGACGGGAAAGGTCCCTGACCTTTGCTGCCCCCTCCCTCACTACCTCGGGCTGCTGCTGCCTCAACACTGTGAAGATTTGAAAAAGAATGATTAGCTTCATTGGGGAACAAGTGAGCATACATAGGAACAAGTGAGCATACATAGGAACAAGTGAGCATACATAGGAACAAGTGAGCATACATAGGAACAAGTGAGCATACATAGGAACAAGTGAGCATACATAGGAACAAGTGAGCATACATAGGAACAAGTGAGCATACATAGGAACAAGTGAGCATACATAGGAACAAGTGAGCATACATAGGAACAAGTGAGCATACATAGGAACAAGTGAGCATACATAGGAACAAGTGAGCATACATAGGAACAAGTGAGCATACATAGGAACAAGTGAGCATACATAGGAACAAGTGAGCATACATAGGATGCAAGTGAGCATACATAGGATGCAAGTGAGCATACATAGGATGCAAGTGAGCATACATAGGATGCAAGTGAGCATACATAGGATGCAAGTGAGCATACATAGGATGCAAGTGAGCATACATAGGATGCAAGTGAGCATACATAGGATGCAAGTGAGCATACATAGGATGCAAGTGAGCATACATAGGATGCAAGTGAGCATACATAGGATGCAAGTGAGCATACATAGGATGCAAGTGAGCATACATAGGATGCAAGTGAGCATACATAGGATGCAAGTGAGCATACATAGGATGCAAGTGAGCATACATAGGATGCAAGTGAGCATACATAGGATGCAAGTGAGCATACATAGGATGCAAGTGAGCATACATAGGATGCAAGTGAGCATACATAGGATGCAAGTGAGCATACATAGGATGCAAGTGAGCATACATAGGATGCAAGTGAGCATACATAGGATGCAAGTGAGCATACATAGGATGCAAGTGAGCATACATAGGATGCAAGTGAGCATACATAGGATGCAAGTGAGCATACATAGGATGCAAGTGAGCATACATAGGATGCAAGTGAGCATACATAGGATGCAAGTGAGCATACATAGGATGCAAGTGAGCATACATAGGATGCAAGTGAGCATACATAGGATGCAAGTGAGCATACATAGGATGCAAGATGCAAGAGGAGCTTGGAAGGGAAGGGGGGGGGGAAAGTTGGGTGGTTGGGTAGTCCCTATGGCAACTTGCAAGGAGGGGGCACCCAACTTGTGGGTTGCAAAAGGGGGGGTACCCAACTTGTGGGTTGCAAAAGGGGGGGCACCCAACTTGTGGATTGCAAAAGGGGGGGCACCCAACTTGTGGGTTGCAAAAGGGGGGGCACCCAACTTGCACTTGAGGGCTCCAACACTTGTGGGTTGGATTGGCACCCCAACTTGCAAGTCTACACCCCAAAGTTGGGTGTAGGCCTACAAAGCAAGCTACACCCAAAGTTGGGTGTAGCCCCAACCCCATTTATACTTCGCATGCTATACACACATTTCTAACAAACACCACTATGGCTTCTGTCACCTCCGCCTGTGCACATGGCAGGAAAGTGGGGAGAGAGGGGGGAGAGGGAAAAGAGCAGTGTAAGGGCAAGAGGCCATGCTGACTGTGGCTGCGGCCTCCTCCTCAAGTCATGGCGCACATGCCTGAATGTACTTTTGAAGGCATCTGCTCTTCACGGCATCTAGTTCTCCCCCGCATACGCCCCCCCCCTCCCTTCTCACACTCACCTGTTCACTGGGCGACAGCAGGTTGGTGTCTCGAACAAAAGACACGGCCGTGTCACCCCCTCTGCAACTAAAGATGAACCAGATGGCGGGCAACATGTCCTTCCTTCTCAGCTGCTATAGCGTGTCTCTCACCCGCAGCACCTGCTCAGATTGGTAACGTGCATCTACTCCCTCATATCTGCACACTACCTCCTTCCCACTCACTCACCAGCCCTTGGATTCACCTGCCCACTCCCCTCCCTCTTCCCACTCCTTCGCTCTTCCCTCCCCCTCACCTGTTCACTCGGCGACAGCAGGTTGGTATCGCGCACAAAGCTGACAGCCGTGTCACACCCTCTGCGACTAAAGATGAACCAGATGGCGGGGAGCATGTCCTTCCTTCTCAGCTGCTCCAGAGTGTCTCTCACCCGTGGCACCTGCCGCCGCCACTGCTGCTGCACCTGCTGCGCCGACAGCTCCTCTACTCGATTCTTCGCCTCCCCCCGCCGCCCCCTCCCCACCAGCCCGGCTAACCCTCCCCCACTACGAGACAAAGCCGCCGCGATCCCCTTCCCGTTCTTGCCGCCTTTTCTTCCTCCTCTCCCTGCATCTCTGTCTCCTCTCCCTGCGAAACCCTTAGATTCCTTCCCTCGCTTGCCACTGCCGCTGCTGCTGCTTTGGTCGTCTGCATCCCACCGTTGGAAAGACCTGCCACTGCCACGTGGCAGCATCCTACCGGATTGCAGCTCCTCCAATAAAGGGTCACCGGAAGGGCGCAGCAGCAGCTGACTGGGGGAGGGCTCGAGGGAGGTTTGAAGGAGGGTTGGGGGAAAGTTGGGAAAGATTTGGAGAGGGTTGAGAGGAAGTTAGGGAAAAGTTGTGGGGATTTAGGGATGGGTTGGCTGTGAGAGGAATGGGGGACGGGGGATAAGATGTGGGAGGGTGGGGAAGAGAAGGTGTGGGGAAATATGGGGGAACAAAGGGGAGGAGGAAGGGGAAAGGGGAGGAGGAAGGGAAAGGGGAGGAAAAAAGCGACAAGAACGTGCACAGGGGTGGGAGAAAACGAAGCGGAAAGAGGGGAGGAAGAGGATAGAGAGGACAGGGGGTTGGAGAGGGAGAGAGAAGGGAGGGAGAGGAGCGTTGGAAGGGAGAAAAGTGGTGGGGTGGGGAGGGAGAGAAGCGTTGGAAGGGAGAAAAGTGGTGGGGGGGAGGAGGGAGAGAAGCGAGTGCGAGTGCGAGTGCGAGTGCGAGTGCGAGTGCGAGTGCGAGTGCGAGTGCGAGTGCGAGTGCGAGTGCGAGTGCGAGTGCGAGTGCGAGTGCGAGTGCGAGTGCGAGTGCGAGTGCGAGTGCGAGTGCGAGTGCGAGTGCGAGTGCGAGTGCGAGTGCGAGTGCGAGTGCGAGTGCGAGTGCGAGTGCGAGTGCGAGTGCGAGTGCGAGTGCGAGTGCGAGTGCGAGTGCGAGTGCGAGTGCGAGTGCGAGTGCGAGTGCGAGTGCGAGTGCGAGTGCGAGTGCGAGTGCGAGTGCGAGTGCGAGTGCGAGTGCGAGTGCGAGTGCGAGTGCGAGTGCGAGTGCGAGTGCGAGTGCGAGTGCGAGTGCGAGTGCGAGTGCGAGTGCGAGTGCGAGTGCGAGTGCGAGTGCGAGTGCGAGTGCGAGTGCGAGTGCGAGTGCGAGTGCGAGTGCGAGTGCGAGTGCGAGTGCGAGTGCGAGTGCGAGTGCGAGTGCGTACGGGTTGATGTCGCGGCCGCGGTTGTGGAGGAGAGGCAGCATGCGGAAGCGCGTGGAGAAGTGCCACTTGAGCGGTACCGGGCGGTGCTGTGAGGTGACGAGCTCCGTGCGCCCGTGCACCTGAGGTGAGGGCACAGGGGCGGGCAGGCAGGCAGGCGGGTGGGATGGGAAAATGGCAGAGGGAGATGGAAGATGGAGTTGAGAGGGCACTCGGTGGGGAAGCTGGGAGAGATTGATGAATGGACGTTGCAAGCAAGGATGCTGACGACGAGAGGCGGAGGGCAGGAGGACACGGGGAGAAACGTCCAAGGCAGCGAGGCTGGGACGAGGAAGAAGCGGTAGGTAGGAGGTATGCACAGTTGATGGAGGGAGGGAGGGAGGGAGGGAGGGAGAGAGGGAGGGAGGGAGGGAGGGAGGGAGGGAGGGAGGGAGGGAGGGAGGGAGGGAGGGGGGGAGGGAGGGAGGGAGGGAGGGAGGGAGGGAGGGAGGGAGGGAGGGAGGGAGGGAGGGAGGGAGGGAGGGAGGGAGGGAGGGAGGGAGAAGAGGAAGCAGAGGGACGAAGAAACGTGTTGGTTTGCTGGCTAGTGACGCACTCACCCTGCCACTCCAGTCCGCGCATTTACTAGGTATTAAGGCGCCTCACAAGAGTCAGCTTGCTGCTACCAACTCACTCACCACCGACTCACTCACTCACTCACTCACTAAATCTCTCACTCACTCTCTCACTCACTCTCTCACTCGCTCTCTCACTCACTCACTAACTCAACCACCAACTCACTCACTCACTCTCTCACTCACCCTGCCAATCCAGTCTGCGAGTTCATCGGGGTTGGCGACCGTGGCGGAGAGGCACACGAGCTGGATAGATTTGGGGCAGTAGATCACCTGCAGGTAGCACACAGGGGTGGGGCGGCAGGAAAAATGGGGTGGGTGGGTGGGTGGGCGGGCGGGTGGGTAAGAGAGATTTCTGTTACGTCACAAGAGGCAGGCATGTGAGCTGAATCCGAATGACCTTGAAACAGTAGACCATCTGCTCGCAGCATCAAGGGGACAGGACACAATGAAGGGCCAGAGTGCTGGTGCTGCTTATAACGGTGCTGCTTGTATCGGTGCGTGTGCACGGTGTGTCAAGCACCCATTGACGCCTGCTGCAATCACGTGGGCTGCAATCACGTTTCTCTAGACATGGGCACGAGTCGAGTCGAGCCGAGTCGCCTCAAGTCGTATTCGAGTCGAGAGTTATTGTTAGAAATAGTCAGTCAACACTTTGTACTATATTCTATATCGGTTAGGTTACTTTGTAGGTTGGGTGTAGATTTGTAATCCCAACCCTATCTGGTTGGGATTCCCTCGTAATCCTGCAAATCTGCCAACTCACCAATTGGAGATTTGCTAGGATTCCCATCCCATCCTTTCCCTAGCTTTGCTCAACCCAACCCTGTTTGTAATTAAGGCCCAGTGCCTTCCTTATCAATCAATCAGTTCAGTTCCAATTCAATCATGGTATCGAGCTAGTAAATTCCGCTCACGCGAAATCCGATCCTTGGCATCCCGATGGTTCTCTCCTTTTAGGCTATGCCTATTTCGGTTCCCGGCTCCTACGCTTAGCGTTTTTCAGAAACTTCACATCGTCGCTCCGGTCAAGCGCGCATTCGGCTTCCTTCATCGCGCATCTCGTTTTTTAACGGCGACATTCTCAGCTTTCGACTTCCTTCATCGTAAGCTTCTGGTTTTTATATCTCCGTGGCAATTTTTGCATCTTCTTAACTTCGAACAGGTTTTCAGCGGCGCAGCGGAACAGGTTTTCAGCGGCGCAGCGGAACAGGTTCAGCGGCGCAGCGGAACAGGTTCAGCGGCGCAGCGGAACAGGTTCAGCGGCGCAGCGGAACAGGTTCAGCGGCGCAGCAGAACAGGTTCAGCGGCGCAGCAGAACAGGTTCAGCGGCGCAGCAGAACAGGTCCAGCGGCGCAGCAGAACAGGTCAGCGGCGCAGCAGAACAGGGCAGCGGCGCAGCAGAGAAGCGGAACAGGGGCAGCAGCGAAGCAGAACAGGGGGCATTGGCGAAGCAGTATATCAGGGTATAGTATGGGCATTCTATCAACAAAATCGCGTTTCGAACTTCCTCAATTTCCAAAATCACCCGAACTCCGCTCCGCTCCGCTACGTATCGGAGACTTTAGCGCTGCGCTCCGCGCGAAATGGCAACTTCAACTTCCACTCTCGTCGGAAACCTCATCATCCTTAACCTCGCTCCCAACGGCACGAGCACCAATTTCGGGGAGTGGTGCTATGGAGTGGAGAAGCACCTCCTTAGCTCGGAGCTCAAGGGGATTTGCCTCAAGGACATCCTCCTCAATCGCGGCAAAGGGAAGATGCCTCTCCCTCCCGATCCTCTCGGCGAAGGCGCCACTGCCACAGCCAAGCTTGCTTTCGACGCTAAAACCACCAAGTATGAGACGGACTTAAGTCTCTGGGAGCAGGCGGATGCGGCAGTGATTAGGGTTTTCATCACCACCACCCCAGTCGAGTTAGTCAAGTCCTACCGCACCTTCCGCTCTGCGCATGACATTTGGAAGTACCTCCAGGATCGCTTTCATGACAAAACTGCCGTGGGAGTTGCAATCCTCATTCCTCGCATGTTCCAAATCCGCCTTGAGGAATGCCCGGGCATGGCAGACTACATCTCTGAAATCCGCAACATCCATGAGGAGCTCAAGGACATTGGGATCACCTTCCCCGAACAGGCACCTGCTGCTGGGCTTCTCGTCGGACCCCAGGCATCCGTCAATGCTGTGCGCTACTCCCCTGGCATCCCATTTCGTTCCCAGCAGGGCCAGAGGCGCAACTCCTTTCCCCCATGCCAGTACCTCATTAGGAAGGGTCCACGTGCGGGGCAGAAATGCAACGGCACCAACCACCCTGAGGCAACTTGCTTCAAGAAGCGAGATGACGAGTGGTATGACGTCCACGGTGTCTCCAAGGACAAGCGCCCTCCCAACTGGGCACCACCCCGTCGCGTGAACCAGGTCGAGGCAGTGGAGGAACCTGCTCAGGCATTTGCTAGTGCCCCATCTGATGTTCGCCTTAACCTGTTGTTCTCTGGTGCTGGTCTTATTAATGAGAAGGGGTCGCAGTACATCGGTGTTTCAACCACACAGGGAATTGAGTTCATACTAGACAGTGGTGCCACCCACACAGTGCTTAAAGACCAAACTGCCTTCGTTCCCTACCAGGCTCCCACCTCACTCCTTGGAGCCAATTCTAGCTTCTCCATCCAATGCCATGGGTCCTCCACAGTTTCCTATCCAGCTTTCCCATCCGGCACAGTCACTGGCATCTGTGCCCCTACCCTCCGCTACAACCTTCTTGCACAGCGGGAAATCCAACACGCAGGCGTAATCACCATCTTTCCCAATGATGTTGACTACTGTGACATGTTTGACGACAAAACCGGACTCCATCTTGCCTGCTTCACCCTCAACTCCAACAACCTGTACACACTAGTTGTACCTCCAGTTCAAACATGCTCCCTCACCAACCTTCCGCTTCCATCCTCAGACTCCCCCTCATGTCACTGCCGCCTCCTCAATGACAAGACTATGCTATTTCATAACCGCCTCGACCACATCAACTTCCGCGCACTTTCAGACCTTGCCACCAAACAACTCCTTCATGGGCTGCCCGCCTCACTTCCACAACCCCCCTCTCTTTCTGGACCACCTTGCCTTGACTGTGCACAGAGCAAGCTTCGGGAACAGCCCCATCCTCCCACTGAGTCCACCTCTACCGCACCTCTTGATCGCGTACACATGGACCTTTGGGGTCCAGCTCCTGTTCGTTCTCGTGGCGGACACTTCTACTTCCTTGTCATCGTTGATGACTATTCCCGCTATGTGTCCGTTCACCTTCTCACCGCCAAGTCTGAAGCCCCAGCCATTATCATGGAATGGGCAAGGCAGGCTCATTCACACTTCAAAACCAAAATCAAGATTCTTCACTCTGACGGTGGCGGTGAATTCCGCAACAACACTCTCAAAGCTTTCTGCTCTACTGAGGGTATTCGTCAGACCTTCACCCTCCCAGACAGCCCTCAACAGAACGGTGTTGCTGAGAGCCGAAACCGCATCCTGGTGCAGATTGCTCGCTGCCTCCTCACTCATGCTTCCGCCCCTCCCTCTATTTGGGGATACGCCATGCTCCATGCTGCCGCCCTCCACAATCTCCATCCTCATCCTCACCACACCCACACCACCCCCGCAGAGCTGTGGACGGGTCAAAAGCCGTCCGTCCGCCCTCTTCGTGTATGGGGGTGCACTTCCTATGTTCTCCTCAACTCCCAAGCCCGTCGTGCAGCTGGCGGCAAGCTTGCTCCGAAAACAATCACGTGCGTGTACCTCGTGTTAGAAATAGTCAGTCAACACTTTGTACTATATTCTATATCGGTTAGGTTACTTTGTAGGTTGGGTGTAGATTTGTAATCCCAACCCTATCTGGTTGGGATTCCCTCGTAATCCTGCAAATCTGCCAACTCACCAATTGGAGATTTACTAGGATTCCCATCCCATCCTTTCCCTAGCTTTGCTCAACCCAACCCTGTTTGTACTTAAGGCCTAGTGCCTTCCTTATCAATCAATCAGTTCAGTTCCAATTCAATCACCTCGGGCACAACTCGGACTCGCCAGACTACCTCTTCCTCCATCCTACCACCAACAAACTTTATCGCAGCCGAGATGTTTTCTTCGATGAATCCCACCCGTTCTACCCCTCCTCCACAGTTTCTCCTTCTCCTCCGCCTCCTTCCCTTACTTGGGCTGACTTTGACAGCCTTCCTCCTGCCACCACTCCATCTCCTCCTCTTCCCGCTCCCTCCACAGTTTCCGACCCCCCGTCACCCGCTTCCCCTTCCAGCACCACGCAGTCTCCCCCGCTCCTTCCCGCCCCCGAGCCCATTCCTCTCAAAACCTACCAACGCCGTCCTCCTGCTGCTGCTCCTCCTCCTGATCCAGCTCCTCCTCCTGATCCAGCTCCTAATCCTGATCCAGCTGTTGTTCCTGATGCTGCCACTACACCTGCTGCTTCTCCTCCTCCAGCTCCGCCTCCCTCCCCCATCGCTGGTCGCACCCGCTCACGCAAAGCTCCCAAGCCTCTTTCCCTTTCCATTCGTGTCTCTCTCAATCCTCCTCCTGTCGGGGGTGATTATTCGCTCATGCCCTCCCTTCTTGAGGACAGCCATGAGGAGTTGATTGAGATTGACTCAGCCATACACGCACTCTGCTCCCTCTTTCCAGATATCGCAGAATCTCCCACCCTCGACTTCTCGGACAACCCCTCCATCCCCACACCTCTCACCTATGCTGAAGCAGTTTCTGGTCCTCACGCCGCTCAGTGGCTAGGGGCCATTGTCGCAGAGTGTGAGGCCTTCATTCACACAGGAACTTTCACAGATGTCTCTCCTCCCTCCGGCGTCAACATTGTGAAGGGAAAATGAGTTTTTCGGGTGAAACAACTTCCAGGCGAATTTCCCGTCTTCAAAGCCCGGTACTGTGCCAAGGGATTTACCCAAAAGCATGGACTGGACTTCTTTGAGACATTCTCTCCCACTGCCAAACCTCCTACACTGCGCACCCTTCTCGATGTTGCCGCTCGAGATGACATGGAGGTTGACTGCATGGATGTGTCCTCTGCGTTTCTGCAAGGGATCCTTCGAGAGGAAATCTACATGGAGCGGCCCGAAGGATTTCCAGCTCCTTTTCCACCAGGCACTGTATGGAAGCTGAATCGACCAGTCTATGGCCTCAAGCAAGCACCCCGGGAATGGCACAACAAGCTCAAGAGCACCTTAGGGTCCCTCGACTTTCACCCATCCACCTCTGACCCCAGCCTCTTCATCCGAGCAACACCATCCCGCTTCTTCATCTTGGTTTATGTCGATGACATGATCCTTGTCACCAAGGATCAGACTGAGCTGGCAGCAGTCAAAACCGCACTTGGTGAGAAGCTGGCTATGAAGGATCTTGGGAAACTGACGAACTATCTGGGCATGGAAATCACACGTGATCGCACGGCCCGCACCATCACCCTCTCGCAGAAGTTCTACATCAACAACGTTCTGACCAGGTTTAAGATGCAGGAAGCAGCTTCAATGCCCACCCCACTCTCTCTGCACCACCAACTCACTGCACCCTCTGTTTCCTCACCTGAGCCCTGTGATGAGGCTTACCCCGAGCTCGTCGGTTCCCTCATGTACGCGATGATGTGCACTCGACCAGATTTGGCCTATCCAGTCAGTGTCCTGTCTCGCTACGTTGCACCTGGTCGCTTCACGAGCCACCACTGGTCTGCCGCCAAGCGGGTCCTCCGCTATCTCAAAGGCACACAGGACTATGTGCTCACTCTTGGCGGCTCTTCCCCTGTTCGCCTTGAGGGGTACAGTGACTTGTCCTATGCTGATGACCAGAGTGATCGGCGCTCTTCCCAAGGATATTGCTTTACCCTTGGCAGTGGGGTTGTCAATTGGCGCTCCACTCGGTCGTCTTCCGTCTCACTGTCGACCTGTGAGGCAGAGCTGTATGCCGGGACCATGGCTGCCCAAGAGGCCCGTTGGCTCTCCTTCTTGCTGGCAGAACTTGGGTATCCTCAACCAGCCCCAACGCTTTGGTGTGACAACGAGAGCACCATTCATCTCACAAAGGACCCCGTCTTCCACGGCCGCACCAAGCACATTGAGGTCCGTCACTACTTTCTTCGTGAGCTGGTGCAGCGCGAGCAGCTGAAGGCTGAACACATTGCCTCCGACTGCAACCTTGCTTACTTGTTTACCAAGTCTCTTGTTCGCCAAGACCACTACCGCCTCCTCTCGTCCATGGGTGTTGGGCCGCCATTTGGCTGAAGTGTTGTCAGCCTAGGGGGTGTGTTAGAAATAGTCAGTCAACACTTTGTACTATATTCTATATCGGTTAGGTTACTTTGTAGGTTGGGTGTAGATTTGTAATCCCAACCCTATCTGGTTGGGATTCCCTCGTAATCCTGCAAATCTGCCAACTCACCAATTGGAGATTTGCTAGGATTCCCATCCCATCCTTTCCCTAGCTTTGCTCAACCCAACCCTGTTTGTACTTAAGGCCTAGTGCCTTCCTTATCAATCAATCAGTTCAGTTCCAATTCAATCACCTCGGGCACAGCTCGGACTCGCCAGACTACCTCTTCCTCCATCCTACCACCAACAAACTTTATCGCAGCCGAGATGTTTTCTTCGATGAATCCCACCCGTTCTACCCCTCCTCCACAGTTTCTCCTTCTCCTCCGCCTCCTTCCCTTACTTGGGCTGACTTTGACAGCCTTCCTCCTGCCACCACTCCATCTCCTCCTCTTCCCGCTCCCTCCACAGTTTACGACCCCCCGTCACCCGCTTCCCCTTCCAGCACCACGCAGTCTCCCCCGCTCCTTCCCGCCCCCGAGCCCATTCCTCTCAAAACCTACCAACGCCGTCCTCCTGCTGCTGCTCCTCCTCCTGATCCAGCTCCTGCTCCTGATCCAGCTGTTGTTCCTGATGCTGCCACTACACCTGCTGCTTCTCCTCCTCCAGCTCCGCCTCCCTCCCCCATCGCTGGTCGCACCCGCTCGCGCAAAGCTCCCAAGCCTCTTTCCCTTTCCATTCGTGTCTCTCTCAATCCTCCTCCTGTCGGGGGTGATTATTCGCTCATGCCCTCCCTTCTTGAGGACAGACATGAGGAGTTGATTGAGATTGACTCAGCCATACACGCACTCTGCTCCCTCTTTCCAGATATCGCAGAATCTCCCACCCTCGACTTCTCGGACAACCCCTCCATCCCCACACCTCTCACCTATGCTGAAGCAGTTTCTGGTCCTCACGCCGCTCAGTGGCTAGGGGCCATTGTCGCAGAGTGTGAGGCCTTCATTCACACAGGAACTTTCACAGATGTCTCTCCTCCCTCCGGCGTCAACATTGTGAAGGGAAAATGGGTTTTCCGGGTGAAACAACTTCCAGGCGAATTTCCCGTCTTCAAAGCCCGGTACTGTGCCAAGGGATTTACCCAAAAGCATGGACTGGACTTCTTTGAGACATTCTCTCCCACCGCCAAACCTCCCACACTGCGCACCCTTCTCGATGTTGCCGCTCGAGATGACATGGAGGTTGACTGCATGGATGTGTCCTCTGCGTTTCTGCAAGGGATCCTTCGAGAGGAAATCTACATGGAGCGGCCCGAAGGATTTCCAGCTCCTTTTCCACCAGGCACTGTATGGAAGCTGAATCGACCAGTCTATGGCCTCAAGCAAGCACCCCGGGAATGGCACAACAAGCTCAAGAGCACCTTAGGGTCCCTCGACTTTCACCCATCCACCTCTGACCCCAGCCTCTTCATCCGAGCAACACCATCCCGCTTCTTCATCTTGGTTTATGTCGATGACATGATCCTTGTCACCAAGGATCAGACTGAGCTGGCAGCAGTCAAAACCGCACTTGGTGAGAAGCTGGCTATGAAGGATCTTGGGAAACTGACGAACTATCTGGGCATGGAAATCACACGTGATCGCACGGCCCGCACCATCACCCTCTCGCAGAAGTTCTACATCAACAACGTTCTGACCAGGTTTAAGATGCAGGAAGCAGCTTCAATGCCCACCCCACTCTCTCTGCACCACCAACTCACTGCACCCTCTGTTCCCTCACCTGAGCCCTGTGATGAGGCTTACCCCGAGCTCGTCGGTTCCCTCATGTACGCGATGATGTGCACTCGACCAGATTTGGCCTATCCAGTCAGTGTCCTGTCTCGCTACGTTGCACCTGGTCGCTTCACGAGCCACCACTGGTCTGCCGCCAAGCGGGTCCTCCGCTATCTCAAAGGCACACAGGACTATGTGCTCACTCTTGGCGGCTCTTCCCCTGTTCGCCTTGAGGGGTACAGTGACTTGTCCTATGCTGATGACCAGAGTGATCGGCGCTCTTCCCAAGGATATTGCTTTACCCTTGGCAGTGGGGTTGTCAATTGGCGCTCCACTCGGTCGTCTTCCGTCTCACTGTCGACCTGTGAGGCAGAGCTGTATGCCGGGACCATGGCTGCCCAAGAGGCCCGTTGGCTCTCCTTCTTGCTGGCAGAACTTGGGTATCCTCAACCAGCCCCAACGCTTTGGTGTGACAACGAGAGCACCATTCATCTCACAAAGGACCCCGTCTTCCACGGCCGCACCAAGCACATTGAGGTCCGTCACTACTTTCTTCGTGAGCTGGTGCAGCGCGAGCAGCTGAAGGCTGAACACATTGCCTCCGACTGCAACCTTGCTGACTTGTTTACCAAGTCTCTTGTTCGCCAAGACCACTACCGCCTCCTCTCGTCCATGGGTGTTGGGCCGCCATTTGGCTGAAGTGTTGTCAGCCTAGGGGGTGTGTTAGAAATAGTCAGTCAACACTTTGTACTATATTCTATATCGGTTAGGTTACTTTGTAGGTTGGGTGTAGATTTGTAATCCCAACCCTATCTGGTTGGGATTCCCTCGTAATCCTGCAAATCTGCCAACTCACCAATTGGAGATTTGCTAGGATTCCCATCCCATCCTTTCCCTAGCTTTGCTCAACCCAACCCTGTTTGTAATTAAGGCCCAGTGCCTTCCTTATCAATCAATCAGTTCAGTTCCAATTCAATCAGTTATGTCGAGTCGCCTCGAGTCGTAGTCGAGTCAGGAGTTATGTCGAGTAGCCTCGAGTCGTAGTCGAGTCGGGAGTTATGTCGAGTCGCCTCGGGTCGTAGTCGAGTCGGGAGTTATGTCGAGTCGAGTCGAGTCGAGTCGAGTCGAGCCATAGTCGAGTAAAAAAAAAATAAAAAATGCTGACTCGTGCTCGACTTCTGCGGTCGAGTCAGGCCTGACTCGAGATCGAGTCACTCGACTCGCGAGTCAGTCTTGAGTCGACTGAACCTTTAGGTATTTTCAAGGGGCGCAACCCCCCCAAAAAGCAGTCACGCTCAGATTTCGCAATGTGCCTGAAACAACAAAAGCTTTGTTGTCGCTACTCCATGCAAGGTAGCCGATGTCCAAATCTCTCCCAACCACCCCCCCACCCGCCCTAGTCGTTTTGTGCGCACATGAAAATTAAGTGACCGGGGGGAATTCAGTGGGTTGGGGGAAGAAAATGAGGGACAGGGGAAAATTGCATGACGGAAGGACTGCGCATGAGGGTGGGGGGACATTGAGTGACGGGCGGAAATTGAGAAACGGGCGGAAATTGAGTGGCGGGGGAAGGAAACTGCATGAGAGGGGGCAAAATTATCAAACGGAAACCCACACGATTGAAATTGGTGACTATCGAGTCAGAGTAGCAGGAATCGACTCGAGGCGAGTCAAAAATATCTTTTAACCGACTCGACTCGATTTAAAGTCGAGTCGAGTCAGCAAGTCGAGCCAAAACTCGACTTGACTGCCCATGTCTACGTTTCTCCGTCTCTCCTCCCAACGGTGCATGCCCCTCAGCAGTTCCCCCCTCCCTCTCACCGTCTCCTCCCACACAGTGCCCCTTGAAATGTCAGAGAGGTATTGCACCTCGTCCAGCACCACTGGTGCATGCTGTGGCGTGGCGGCTCATACAACCCCCCATATAACCTCACCAGTGCGTGCTGTACCTTGGTGCGAGACCAAGTGATGACACTCACCGTCTCCTCCCACACAGTGCCCCAGGAGATATCGGAGAGGTAATGCACCTCGTCCAGCACCACTGGTGTGCGCTAGGATACCCATTCCCAACCCCTCATCAGCCCTTCCTCCCTCCCTCTCTCCCTCCCTCCCTCCCTCTCACCGTCTCCTCCCACACGGTGCCCCTCGAGATATCAGAGAGGTAATGCACCTCGTCCAGCACCACTGCCTCCACTCCCCTCAGCCTCTCCTCCTCTGCCTCGCCTGCCCCCATGCTGACAGGGGTTAGGAATGGGGTTGGGAGAGATGGGGAGAAAGGGGAGAAAAGGGAGTGAGGAGGAGGGGGTGGTGGTGGGGAGAGGTGATGGAAGGGGTGATGGAAGAGGAGTACACCTGATGTATGTTATCTCATCTCAGTATAGTCACACATCACACCTGGTGAAGAGCATCTCGCTACAGTCACACGCCATCTCGCTACCGTCACACGCCATCTCGCTACCGTCACATGCCCCATCTCGCTATAGTCACACACCACACCTGATGTAGAGCACCTCGCTATAGTCACAGCTGGTGTAGAGCATCTCGCTACAGTCACACACCTGGTGTAGAGCATGTTGCGCAGGATCTCAGTGGTCATGACAAGGATGGGCGCGTCTCTGTTCACTGCCACGTCACCAGTCAGCAGCCCCACGTTGCCCTCCCCAAACTTCACCCTGCCATGCCACGTGGCAGAAAAACATTGGTCGGAACAATCGGACAATACGCAAGCAGGCGTGCGGTACACGAGGTAGAAAAAAAAAAAAAAAAAAAAAAAAGAGAGAGAGAGAGATGGGTCAATGGGTCATAGGGTCTAAGGGAGCCACGAGTCAAACCGTATGTTTGTACCCCAGCTGAATTAATACAAAGGACCATTTGAGAGAGAGTCTAGGGGGGGGAGGGTCAGAGGGATGGGTTAATGGGTCAGAGGGTCTAAGGGAGCCACGAGTCAAACCGTATGTTTGTACCCCAGCTGAATTAATACAAAGGACCATTTGAGAGAGAGAAAGAAGGAAACCTGAATGGTAGTTGGCATTGCTTCGTTACCAAATTGCAGCGCACCGAATGGGAGAGCAGCCTGAGCGACACAATAGCAGCAAGCAGCACACCTAAAGCCTCAGCAGTCACCAGCTAGCCAGCAGCGCACAAGTAGACCATGAGCTTCTGATTTTTTTGCCGATTAACAAAATCAGAAGCTCCTTAGAGTCTCGACGCACAGCGCACCGAATAGGAGTGTAGCCTGGGAAGCACAGCACAATAGGAGCAAGCACAGCACAATAGGAGCAAGCACAGCACAATAGGAGCAAGCACTGCACCTGAAGTCACGCAGTTTCTGGTTGGAGAGGGCTTTGAGCGGCGTGGTGTAGATGAGGCGCCCTCCCCGCGCCATTGTGGCTGCTGCCGCTGCCTCCCCCACGAGTGTCTTGCCACTGCTGGTGGGGGCGCACACCACCACTGACGACCCTCGCAGAAAGGCCTCTATCGCCACTCGCTGGATGGAGGTTGAATGTGGGGTTGAGGTTTAAGGGTTGGGATTGGGATTGGGATTGGGATTGGGATTGGGGTTGGGATTGGGATTGGGATTGGGATTGGGATTGGGATTGGGATTGGGATTGGGGTTGGGATTGGGATTGGGATTGGGATTGGGATTGGGATTGGGATTGGGATTGGGATTGGGATTGGGATTGTGTAATCAAGACAGCTGCTGCCTCCCCCACGAGTGTCTGCCGCTGCTGGTGGGCGCACTCACCACAGCACCACTGACGACCCGCGCAGGAATGCCTCTATCGCCACTCGCTGTCAGGAAGGAAGTGTTGGAAGTTCAAGAAATTGAGAATAAGGGTTGACTGCGGTTCGCACATGAGGTGCCTCCCCCACGAGTGTCTTGCCGCTGCTGGTGGGCGCACTCACTACCACTGAACTGACGAGCTGTGAAGAAATGGATCTACCGCCACTCGCTGGAGGGAAGAGGAGGGGGTAAGGGAGGTGCGGGAGGAGGGGATGGGGAATTCGGGAAATAGAGAAATTGAGGAATCGGGTCAGTGCATGAGGGAACCTTTCATCGATCGTCTTGCCGCTGCTTTATCACCATCCGCTGAACGGCGGGGGGAGGGGGGTGGGAAGACAGAGGGTTTCGGGTTTAGGGATGGGTTTGGGAAATGGGGAATCAGGGTTGAGGGTAAGAGGTAGAATTGGGGTTCGAGGGTGTGAGTTAAGGGTTTATGGTCAGAGTTGAGAATATGGCGTTCAAGGGTCAGAGTTGTGAGGAGAACACAAACATCAGCGCAGGCTGGGAAATCCTTTAACGGGTATTTTTTAGAATTTTATAAAAACACCAGAGGAGGCGAGGATGCCAGGGGGGGGGGGGGGGGAGGGGGGGGGGGCTAAGTGAAATGCCAGAACGCGTTCAGCGTGGCAGTTGTTGTTGCAGGCAGCCCACGAAGGGTGTGACAGAGCAGTTCCTTCTTGACTTTTGAGACGTCTCAAGAGCAGTTCCTTCTTGCAGACTGGCAGGACGGCAAGGGCGGAGACGGGTGTGAATCGTGATGAGCCCAACGGCTGTGATCATGTAGAAAAGGATCCAACGGCTGGCGTTATTCACCTGGAACTTGTCAATGGGGTGGTCAAACAGCCTTGCAAGATCACGAGCCGTGATCACCGCACCAGCTGCAGCTGCACCAGCATCGGTGGCATACTGAGCTTGCTGCACTCGCATCTGCAGCTGATGCACTCTCTCGCTCATGCTCATCCCCTCCATCCCCATCCCCTCCCCTTCCTCTTCTTCCCCTTCCTCCTCCTCCACCTCCTCTTCTTCCTCCTCGTCCTCCTCATCCTCCTCTTCAAAGTCACTCTCCCCTACAATCACATCCAGCACCCCCTCTTCTAGCTCCTCCAAATCCTCCCCGCCTCCCTCCTCCTCCACCTCGTCATCATCCATCTCGAATCGCGTCATGCCTCCTCCAATCGCGGCGCCACCTGCGCCCCGCTCTCTCTGCTGCTGAAGCGATTCGAATCGCTCCATCAGCTGGTCCACCGTTCTAGTCACATTCCTCTCGTCCTCGCTGTAACCGCCTCCGTTAGAAGCGCTCGACGAGTTGTAAGCGCCTCCAAATTCGCTTGTTTCGCCATCCCAGCCTTGGGATGATCTCCAGCTGTCCGATCCGTTATCAACTGATTCGCTACCAACTCCGCCGTTTCCGCGTGTCCCACCTCCCCACTTCCCCTTCCCCTTATCATTCCGTTCCGCACTCCCCCGTATGCCCCTCGTACTCGAAATCCCCCCCAAGTCTTCCGCCGACCGCGCCAAACGCGCGCCCGCGCCATCCCCCCCGCTCGCCTTCCGCGCTGAAAACCCTAGTCCTTGCGCCTTCCGCAATCCCTCCCTCCCCCGAAGTCCCTTATTACAAAGTCCATTCCACTCGTGCCTTAATAATGTACCCTTCCCCGTGCCGCTTACGCACAGCCTGATTTGCGCAGAGCGCGGAAACGCACTCGGAGCGGCGGAAGGGAGGCGGAGCGAATGGAGAAGGGGGAGGGAGATGAGGGGGAGCGAGCGGAACGAGGAGCAGGAGGAGGGGAGCTGAGGGGATCCTGATGCGAGACATGGCCGGGTGATGACGGAAGAGGTATTGCCGACCCGGGGATACGAAACCGCGACGCATCGCGAGTGAACGGAAGCTGCCATAAGATCGATGCCTGGACGCACCGGGACAGACTGTCGAAGAATCCCTCGCCGGCTTCCGTGAATGACTGATTTTCGGGGATTTTCCTTCGTGTTCCCGCGCAAGCAGCTAGTCCTCTCAGCTAGCCAGTAGCGCAAACGCACATTCTGGAAGGCGCGATTCTAGTCTTACAACGCGACAAGCCCAAGCGGAACCACTGGTTCAGCGAAAAACCGGAATGGGGCGGAAAGGGGTGATAGTGATGAAAGCAGTGCGAGGTGAGAGAGGTATGTGTGGAATATCCATGATCAGGGTGAATGGATTCCATCCCTCGTTTCGCTGAGGCGGATTTGGGACTTAGCGGTTTCAAGAACATTCCGCGTTGCATTTTCATTGCAGTTACCATATTTTTAGCAGTCTTGTAGTGTGATGTTTCATCGAAACTTTCTTCGACACCCTGAAACGAAGCTCAGCATTCTGGGATGATCTCGGAGCGTGTGGGAGTTATTTTTAGGGCGTGCCGTTTGGAGGCCAAAAGCTAAGAAAGCTACCCAAACGCAAAGAACTGTAAACGAATCGCTCTGACATGCGCAACATCCCATCCCACCGCAACAAAGAGAGCTCGTTGGAAGCCCTTTTTGTGTGCTTTGTTTCGTAACAAGCCTTCCGCACTTTTCTAGCCGTTGAAGGCGTGCCACGGTTGGGGGTTCGAATCGAACCGCACACTGATGCGTGGATAAGATCAAGCCTGTCAACATTCATCGTCCTAGACCGCACCAAATCGTGTAGAACCTATCAGTACAATTCCCCCAGTTCATTTTCTGCAAATGCTGCATGCATTTTGTGCTAAGGGTTTAGGGTAGCGAGGAAGCTTGAGTGGAGATGGTGAACTCATCCAAACGGCGCAGCGCGATCAACTCTCCACGATCTTGTACTATCTAGGCTTGTTCCCGCCATTAGCATTAGTTTCTATAGATAATCACCGTCATGCTCCTAGCAGCAGATCCTTGATCATTTCCTTACCCCGCCCGCCCGTTTGTATCTGTGCGACGCTGCATTCCGAGCTCGCGACTTTCGCGGAGAGTCGCTCGTTTTCGTCAGCACTGTATTTCTTTAACAACACCCAGTGGCTCAAGCTACCGCAGCGACAATGCTTCCCTGTCGCGCGCTCTCTTCCTGCGCGCGGCTCCAGATGATCCTCTTTTCGCACGTCCCCCTGCGACTTTCTGCGACCAGCTGGCGATCACCTCCGTCACCGTTCCCAACCGATCCGCACCTTGCTCTAACCTCTGGTTTCCCGCGGCAAATAAGCACGCGCCTCTCTCAGTCTACCACAGTAGCAGCTGCTGCAGGTCGACCGAGCGCCGACAATTTCGCCGCGTCTTCAGGGAACGCACGAAAAAGTGCTACTAGCGAACGTGACAGCCAGCCTCCCCGCGTGAAACCCTCCCCCCGCCTTCGGCCGCAAGCGGTTACTTCCGCTTCCGTCGACTCTCAAGCTACCCCCAATGCCAAGCCCGCGACCCGCCGGCGAACGCGCACGGCAGCCGCTGGCGCTGCTTCCGGCGCGCCTGTAGCGGATATGCCAGTAACGGGCGGCAGTGCTGTTACCGCGGAGGGCGCGACTGTAACCGGCCCAGCAGTATCCGCAGGAAAAGCACCCGCGGGGGCGCAGGCGGAAGGGGAAAGGGAAGAGGCGCAAGGAGCGCGAGGTGGCGGGGCGATCCACGTGATCACGGGGCCGATGTTCGCGGGGAAGACGACGGCGCTGCTGGCGCGCATGCACGAAGAGATGGGGCGCGGCAGGTGAGAGTACACTGATGGGGGGCGCATGCGGGACGCAGATATCTGGAACCACAAACCTTAACCCTTAAAGCCCTAACCCTGCAGGCGTGTGGTGGTGGTGAAGTCAAAGGCTGACACGAGGTACGAGCGGGACGCATATAGCTGAAACTCCAAACCCCAGACCCCGAAACCCCAACCCAACCCCGTGCATTGATGGGTGAATGCAGGAGTGTGGTGATGTGATGGCGAAGTTGTGTGCTGACACGTGGCACGCACGCACGGTCCCATAACTGACACCCCCAACACTCAAACCCCGAAACCTTAAACCCCGTGCTGACTGCACTGCAGGAGCGTGTTGGTGGTGAAGTCAAAGGCCGACACGCGGTACGCGCGGGACGCAGTGGTGTCGCACGACGGCGCTGCCATGCCGTGCCTTGCCGTGCGCTCCCTGCTGGAGATTTTAGCTGAGGATGGGGCGTACAGAGACGCGTATGAGCAGGTGAGATGCTGACAAAGGGGTTGAGTGCGGTACTGTGTTTCTTCAGTACGCGCGGGACACGGTGGTGTCGCATGACGGCGCCGCCATGCTGTGCCTCGCCGTGCGCTCCCTGCTGGAAGTGCTGGTAGAGGATGGGGCGCACAGAGAAGCGTACGAGCAGGTGGGGCGCTGGCAGAGGTGGGGCGCTGGCAGAGGTGGGGCGCTGGCAGAGGTGGGGCGCTGGCAGAGGTGGGGCGCTGACAGAGTGGGGCGCTGACAGAGGTGGGGCGCTGGCAGAGTGCCGTGCTGTGCGCTCCCTGCTGGAGGTGCTTTCAGAGGAGGGGGCGCACTGGGGGAAGCGTACGAGCAGGTGAGACCTGGGAGGAGGCTCGCTAGAGGAGTGCTGGTGGATGGAAGGGTGCACCGACAGGCGTACGAGCAGGTGAAGTCTTGCAATCAGCCCCTCTCTTATCTGCGCCCACCTCTCCACTCCTCTCTGTGTCCCCCTGCCCCCCGCCCCCCCCCTGCCCCCCTGCCCCCCACCCCATTCCTCCAGCATCCCCCAGGCAGCAGTGATCGGGGTGGACGAGGCACAGTTCATTCACGGGCTGGCGGAGTCCTACATTATGCCCCTTTCTCTACCTTCGCCTCACCTCTCCGCCCTCTGTCCCCCTGCCCCCTCCCCCACCCCCCACCCTACCACACATCCCTCCGCCCCATACGTCTCAGGCGGCAGTGAGTGGGTGGATGAGGTGCAGTTCAGTCACGGGCAGGTGGAGTTCAAAAAGCAGGCCGATGTTGAATGGGCAATGGGTGGTAATGGGCACCGCTCCTCTCTCCCCTCGCATCTCTTCCCTCTACCCTCTACCCTCTACCCTCTCCCCACTCCCCATTGGCATCCGCCAGGCGGCTGTAGTCGGGGTGGACGAGGCACAATTCATTCACGGGCTCGTGGAGTTCTCATTGCGGGCGGCAGACCATGACGGCAAGACACTGTTTATTGCAGGCCTGGACGGCGACTTTCGGAGGTGTGTGCCACGTGGAGGGTTAAGGGTTTCGGGTTTGGGGTCTAAGATAGGTTTCAGTGTTCAGGGTGTGGCATGTGGTGTGTTGTGTGGTGGTGTGCGATGGTGTGCAGTGGTGTGGCATGCTAGCATGGTGCAGTGTGCGGGTGAGAGGACAGCCCACTGCTGACCAATACACCCACGTGTGCCACCATGTGAACCCACAGGCTCAACTCCTGAAAGCACGTGTCTTGTCTCACCGCATTTCCCCATGCTTCACCGCATTGCCCCATGCTTCACTGCATTGCCCCATGCTTCACTGCATTGCCCCATGCTTCACTGCGTTCTCAATGCATTTTTACCTGCATTTCACCTCTCGCCTCTCTCCTGCCTCCACTCCTCTGTCTCTCTTCGCAACACTGTGCCATTTCCTCTGCCCTGCTGGTCTGCTTTCCCATGCCCCATGCATGTCTGCCTGCTCGATTCAGCTGCTTGCCTCCATGCATGCTGAAGTGGCTTCTGAGTTTACTACAAAATCTCTTCCTCCACGTCACCCCTCTATATCATTTCTCTAGATCATTTTTCCAGTGGGTTTTATGTCAGCTTGTCACGCTTCCATCTGATCACAAAAACTCTCTGGCTCTGGCCATTGCATTCATGACATCTTTGTTTTGCAGAAAACGCTTTGGCGAGCTGCTAGATTTGATTCCGCACGCCGATTCCGTGACAAAACTCGCCGCCCGGTGCGAGATGTGTGGGCGGCCGGCGTCGTTCACTCTGCGCAAAACACAAGAGACAAAGCTGCGGCTGGTGGGCGGCGCAGAGACGTACATGCCAGTGTGCCGAACACACTACCTGAGCGGGAAATGTGTTGTTGATCTCACAAGAGATTTAGGGGCGATGCATGATCCGTTAAAGGATGATTCGTCTTAGCACAGTACAGCGTATCGTGATGATGTAGGGGGTTGGGACTGTTAAACAGAAAGAGTAGGGCCTAGGCTTAGTAGCCTAGGCCAAGGGGAGTCGAGGTGGTTTGTGCCAAGGAGAGGGAGACGAGAATGAATGGCTTCACTATAGGTTTGCAAGAACATATAGCAAAGGAACAAAGAAGGTGCACCACCAAACAAAGTTTATAATAACTACACTAACTACAGCTACAGGCAGTTACAGATATATTCTAACATTCCCCCATAACTGCCTGCAGCAGGAGTCTGTGCAGCGACACATCCTGAATGGGTACACCACGAACTGAGAAAACAGCAACAGCAGGCAAGGTAACAAAGCAGGTACAGCAGCAAAGGGGCAGGCACTCCTGCCACCCCTTTACTCTCCTCCCCCCCCCCCCCCCCCCCCCCCACCTCAGAGGGACGGGGGCTGGATGTCTCACACCCGCCACCCCAATGCCACTCCCCTGGCTCCCCCACCCCCTCACACCCTCCCCCCAGCGGCAGCTGCAGCAGTGGGAACGAAAGGAGGAGGGGAAGTGAAACATACTACCCATCACCCCCATACCCGCCACCTCCATACCCTCCCCCCCACGGCTGCACGCGCAGCAGGGAGAAGAAGGAGGAGGGGGGGGGGGGGGGTGGGCGGGAAGAAGCCGCCCCACGGCCACAGAGGGGTGGCGCACAGGGAAGGGGAGGGGCGGCTGCACCGAGTGCAGGCGCATGTGAGGCAGGGGCGGCTGCTCCGAGGGCAGGCGCGGGTGAGGCAGAGGCGCCGTCGCGGGCGCCAGGGGCAGGTCCGCAGCTGACAGGGCACCGTCGCGGGCGCCAGGGGCGGGTCCGCGGCGGCTCAAGGCACCGTCGCGGGCGCCAGGGGCGGGTCCGCGGCGGCTCAGGGCACCGTCGCGGGCGCCAGGGGCGGGTCCGCGGCGGCTCAGGCCACCGTCACGGGCGCCAGGGGCGTGTCCGGGGCGGCTCAGGGCACCGTCGCGCGCCACGGGGCGCACGACGGGCAGGCAGGCAGGCAGGCAGGCAGGCAGACGCCGCGCGCCCGGGGCGCACGGCGGGCAGAAAACCGCCGTGCGCCCTGAGCACACGGCGGGCAGAAAATCGCCGCGCGCCCGAGGCGCGCGGCAGGACGACATGCAGCGGAAGCAAACTGGTGAGCCCGTTAAGGAAGGCAGCAGGAAGGTGCCTGCTCTGATACCATGTTAAACAGAAAGAGTAGGGCCTAGGCTTAGTAGCCTAGGCCAAGGGGAGTCGAGGTGGTTTGTGCCAAGGAGAGGGAGACGAGAATGAATGGCTTCACTATAGGTTTGCAAGAACATATAGCAAAGGAACAAAGAAGGTGCACCACCAAACAAAGTTTATAATAACTACACTAACTACAGCTACAGGCAGTTACAGATATATTCTAACAGGGACCGTAGCAGCAGGCCCTCAGATTCACTTTTAGGGACCCTGATGCATCAGGGTTCCGGTGAAAAAAAAGGCTGACTGTCAGTGTTCCAAAAAAAAAAAAGGCTTAGGGTTCCTAAAAAAAAAGGCTGATTTTATATAATTTACATTTGTGGTTACAAGTGTAGGCCCACCTAGTTATAATGGTCAGTATCTCCGCCTGTCACGCGGAAGATCCGGGTCCGATCCCTGGCATCGGCACTTCATGGTTTTGCTTCCCCAGCTTGGGTTCCCCTTTTCATTACACCCTTTTTTCGTTCAACTTGTTTTTCGGAATCATTCAAACTACACCGCACCACTCTTCCTCAGCTCTCCCATTAAAACAGGCCACATCGAGCCATTTGTCCAGCCAGGGCGATCTTCAACTGTCAAGTCAGGTTTGAACCCTCCGAAAGCTCGGGCAAACCCACTTTCACAATGGATTCGCCCTCCTTGCACGGGTCAGTGCTTTCATCGGCATTTCTCCTAAGCCTTGGGCCCGCCTCTAGCTCCTAGATTCTGGGTCACACTACATCCATGCGGTTAAATTGTTGAAATAGCGAGCCACGTGTCGTTTGTCTCAGCGCATAGTCTCTGCTCCTCCCCGCGGTCTCATCACCCTCTGTTCCATCAACGTCGTTCCTCGTCAGCCGCTCGTCGTTCCTCCGGTTACGATCGATGTACCGAATGTCGCGAGTCCTCTGTGGGACTCGTGTAATTTTTTTCCCAGCTCGCCGGTTCCGTTGACCATGTAACCACCTCATCGCCTTCCCTGAACTTCTTTCGCCGTACCTTGTAACCAGATGTACAGCGAGGTTCCTTGAGAATGGACCGATCAATCACCCCATCAACCCACTTCCTGATGAAGTATCCTTATCGGTTCTCGAGGCTCATTGGAACAAGCTCAACGCGGACTGGAGCCTTCCACACACACACACACACACACACACATACACACACACATACACACACACGCACACACACACACACGCACACGCACACGCACGCACGTGTCAGAATACTGAACGAGAATAAATGAACTATGAAAGAGCTGGGTACAAGTACTAGCCCTAATTGGGTTGTACCCCTTATGGGCTACCCCATTATAGCCTACACAAATGTAAGCAGTATAACATTCTGACACACCCCCATAGGCAAAGTGGGGGAGAAAAAGTGGTCACAAGACCAGTCAAGAAAAGCAAAGCAAGCTCAGGGTGGATCACTAAGTCACCACACAGTCCGAGCACAAGCAAAGGGCCATAAGGCCAGTTCACATGCAGAGTTATATAAAAGAGAACAAACAATACAGTGATCATACCCTAGCAAGTGGAAGCATGCAGGTATATATATATATCACAGTACAAACAAAGTCACGAAGTGAGCAAGTGAGGCAAAGTAGGCACAAGGCCTAACACAGTAGAGAAGCGCTGATGATCACCAGGCGGAAGTGCCTTGGTGAATACATCAGCAGTGTTGGCCCTAGTGGCCACGCACGCAAGACGAAGTTGGCCACGCTGCTGCAACTCTAAAGCAAGGAAATATCGCAGAGCGATGTGCTTCATTCTGTGCTCCAGTCTGTGCTCCTGACACAAGGCAATCATGGCCTTGTTGTCTACGTACAGAACTGGAGGCGAACGAGGCTGCTCTCCCAAGTCAGTCAGCAGGTAGGTGAGCCAGCGTAGCTCCTGTGCAGCCATGGCCCCTGAGTAGATCTCAGCCTCACAACTAGAGCTGAGAACAGAAGACGAGCGGGTAGACCGCCAGGAAACAGAGCCGGAACCGAGGCTGAAGGTGTAACCCTGTGACGACCGCTGCGTAGCTGAGTCATCAACCCAAGAAGCGTCTGCGTGACCAGTGCGTCGACGTAGACGAGGACGTAGAACGGCGGCAGCGAGGTGTCGGTGCGTAGAAACATCGACGGGTCAGCAGTAGAAGGAGCAAACCCAAGAGCCGCAAGTGTAGTCCTCAGTGTGTCGTGCCACTCACGAGGCGCCTGGCGGAGACCGTAGACTGGCCGCCGGAGGCTCCACTGAGTACCTGCAGGAAACGACCCAGTGAAGCCAGGTGGACGGCGCAGCCAAATCTCCTCGTGCAGGCTGCCCTGCAAGAAAGCTGTACTGAAGTCCAGAGAGTGCAACTCGTAGTCACGCTAAGCAGCGACGTGCAGCAACACCCGAAGAGTGGTCATCTTCGGGGTGGGGGAGAAGGTCTGGAAATAGTCAACCCCTTGTCGATGACTGAAACCTCGAGCAACGTAACGCGCCTTGAAGGCAGGCGGAGAACCCGGCAGCCGCTTCACCCTGAAAATCCACATGCCATCGACTATGTTCGCCCGAGACGGGGGAACTGCGTCGACGTAGGTGCCTGTGGAATTCCAAGATGCCATCTCGACATCCATGGCTGCCTGCCACTGAGAGGAGTAAGGACCTGTTATCGCCTCTGCGTAAGAGCGTGGGGTCGGGATGTCTGGTGCATCCGGGTCTCCGTCAGGGGCAAGCAGCATGGAAGCGAAATGAGGTACAGCAGCTGCAAGACACTCAAAGTCCTCCTGCCTGTCCTCAAGGACGTCCGTGCCAAGAGCACACTCACCCCCGATGGACGGAGGACTGGCAGACGCAGACTCAGCAACAAGAGCAGTGGCGAAGTCTAGACGACAGGCAGCAGCAAAGTCAAGTAGCTCAGCAATGAGGGCAGACGCAACAGTGGACTCAAAAGAAGGGTCAGTGATAACAGTGGCGAGGAGACGAGAGACAGTGGGACTGGCAGCACGAGCAAGGTCAGACTCAGGGTCAGGGACGGCAGGAAGAGAGGACTCAGGAGGAGGCCGCAGAGGAACACGCAGTGGAACAGAGGAAGGACGAAGTGCCATAGCGTGGGTGCCGGGGACAGGAGGAGGACGCGAACGAGGAGCGCGACGAGCAGTGCGAACAGGCGAGACAGGACGAGACGCAGGCTCACGACGCTCTGTAAGACCGCCGGACTGCTCAGTGTAAGGAGAAGGAGCAGGCAGTGGGGAGGCTAGCTGTAACGGCGGCTGCGACTGGTCAGGCGGTGGACACAGTAGGGGAGGAGCAAGACTAGTAGAAGACAGGACACCAAGAACCTGCTGAAGTAGGGGAACGAAGTACAGTCGCGGCCGCACAGTGCCTCCAGCACCAATACCACCAGCACCCCCAGCTCCAGCACCTCCAGCTCCAGGGTCAACAGCTCCAGCTCCTCCAGCTCCAGCGCCTCCCGCGCCAGTGCCTCCAGCTCCAGCTCCTCCAGCTCCAGCGCCTCCAGGCTTAGTAGGGTCTCCAGCTCCAGCACCCCCAACACCACCAGTCCCGGCAGCTCCAGTACCCCTGGTCCGAGCACCTCCAGGACCAACAGCCGCAGTACCTCCAGTACCACCAGCTCCAGCAGTAACTCCAGCACCTCCAGCTCCAGTGTCTCCAGTGGCTCCAGCTCCGGTAGCTCCACTCCGAAGGCGTGCACGTTGAAGAAGCCACTCACGCAGCTGCTGCGGGGAGAGAGGCTCCGGCCGGGGAGACAGCCGTGGCGAAGCACCAG